GGCATATTTAGAGTGCGGGTTTCCCTCAGGGTACTCTGATCAAGGTGGCAGAGAGCCTGGCAAAGAAGATTAAAGGATTACAGAGGCAGCCCCGTGACAGGAATATGACGAGGCCGTTGTTAATTTATTAACTCTTAAAGGTCGCTCTCAGAGAAGATAACAGGGGGGGGGGGGGGGGGGGTTAACATCACCATTTACTAGCCGTATGTACAATATTCATGGACAAGGTCATCGCGCGTTGACAAAAGCAGAGAGCAGAGACGCTTGAGATTTTCAGTGCAGCGATGGTCAGCAGCATGGCATGCCATTGTGGTGGTATGCCACCACAATGGCATACCATTGTGGTGGCATTGTGGCATACCACCACAATGGCAGCTGGTCTGACGTCAATACAATACCTGTATAGACCTTTGCATTACGCAATGTAAAGCGTCATGCTTGCATTGCGTCATGCCACAGTGCAAACTTAATTTTGATGTCTAAACAGATGTTCCGCCTCATCATTCACTGAGCTGATTTCGTAGATTGCAGAGATTGGCCCTTAGATTGTTTTGCGGGTAAGTAGACGAACAGGCATATTTAGAGTGCGGGTTTCCCTGAGGTTACTCTGATCAAGGTGGCAGAGAGCCTGGTAAAGAAGATTAAAGGATTACAGAGGCAGCCCCGTGACAGGAATATGACGAGGCCGTTGTTAATTTATTAACTCTTAAAGGTCGCTCTCAGAGAAGATAACAGGGGGGGGGGGGGGGTTAACATCACCATTTACTAGCCGTATGTACAATATTCATGGACAAGGTCATCGCGCGTTGACAAAAGCAGAGAGCAGAGACGCTTGAGATTTTTAGTGCAGCGATGGTCAGCAGCATGGCATGCCATTGTGGTGGTATGCCACCACAATGGCATACCATTGTGGTGGCATTGTGGCATACCACCACAATGGCAGCTGATCTGACGTCAATACAATACCTGTATAGACCTTTGCATTACGCAATGTAAAGCGTCATGCTTGCATTGCGTCATGCCACAGTGCAAACTTAATTTTGATGTCTAAACAGATGTTCCGCCTCATCATTCACTGAGCTGATTTCGTAGATTGCAGAGATTGGCCCTTAGATTGTTTTGCGGGTAAGTAGACGAACAGGCATATTTAGAGTGCGGGTTTCCCTGAGGTTACTCTGATCAAGGTGGCAGAGAGCCTGGTAAAGAAGATTAAAGGATTACAGAGGCAGCCCCGTGACAGGAATATGACGAGGCCGTTGTTAATTTATTAACTCTTAAAGGTCGTTCTCAGAGAAGATAACGGGGGGGGGGGGGGGGGGGGGTTAACATCACCATTTACTAGCCGTACGTACAATATTCATGGACAAGGTCATCGCGCGTTGACAAAAGCAGAGAGCAGAGACGCTTGAGATTTTCAGTGCAGCAATGGTCAGCAGCATGGCATGCCATTGTGGTGGCATTGTGGCATACCACCACAATGACAGCTGATCTGACGTCAATACAATACCTGTATAGACCTTTGCATTACGCAATGTAAAGCGTCATGCTTGCATTGCGTCATGCTTGCATTGCGTCATGCCACAGTGCAAACTTAATTTTGAGGTCTAAACAGATGTTCCGCCTCATCATTCACTGAGCTGATTTCGTAGATTGCACAGATTGGCCCTTAGATTGTTTTGGGGGTAAGTAGACGAACAGGCATATTTAGAGTGCGGGTTTCCCTCAGGGTACTCTGATCAAGGTGACAGAGAGCCTGGTAAAGAAGATTAAAGGATTACAGAGGCAGCCCCGTGACAGGAATATGACGAGGCCGTTGTTAATTTATTAACTCTTAAAGGTCGTTCTCAGAGAAGATAACAGGAGGGGGGGGGGGGGGGGTTAACATCACCATTTACTAGCCGTATGTACAATATTCATGGACAAGGTCATCGGGCGTTGACAAAAGCAGAGAGCAGAGGCGCTTGAGATTTTCAGTGCAGCGATGGTCAGCAGCATGGCATACAAGTTCATCGGATGTGAAGATATAAACTGCATCAGGCGGCTTTCTAAACTGCGCGTGCCGTCATCGTCATCGCACCATGCTGGTGGTAATTTTTAGTTGTTTATTCCGAGAGAGGCAAATCCCGTAGTGCGAAATGTATGCTGCAGAAGGCACGCGCTCGGCAGCAAGACCACCACAATGGCAGCTGATCTGACGTCAATACAACACCTGTATAGACATTTGCATTACGCAATGTAAAGCGTCATGCTTGCATTGCGTCATGCCACGGTGCAAACTTAATTTTGATGTCTAAACAGATGTTCCGCCTCATCATTCACTGAGCTGATTTCGTAGATTGTAGAGATTGGCCCTTAGATTGTTTTGCGGGTAAGTAGACGAACAGGCATATTTAGAGTGCGGGTTTCCCTCAGGGTACTCTGATCAAGGTGGCAGAGAGCCTGGTAAAGAAGATTAAAGGATTACAGAGGCAGCCCCGTGACAGGAATATGACGACGCCGGTGTTAATCCCGTATATGCATACAGTCACGCATAATCTTAAGAAAGTTGCCTCGCGCTACGATGTGCCTGTGGTCTTTACTGCACCCAATAAGCTGGGGCAGCTGTGCCGTAGGATCAACAATCCCATTGTATCGAAAGATCCCTGTGATACCAGCCACCACACAAAATACACAGAGTGTACTACGGGTGCTGTCTACGAATTTCGTACGTCATGCGGCTCGTCTTATATCGGCCAGACGGGAAGGTGTTTCAATGATCGTGCGCGGGAACACGCCGCGGCGACGAAAGTCACTCCATCGGGACATATCTTGCCACTAAACTGTAGTCGTTGCCCATGTGCCCCGTCATTTGGCGACGCCAGGTTTCTGGCTAGATCCCCGGATAGGGTTTCTAGAGAACTCCATGAGGCCTTCGAAATAAAGGGCAAAAAATGCATAAGCGACACGTCCCCCCCCTTTTTTTTTTTATCGGGGAATGAGTATTTCTTATTGTTACGGAGGTTGAACAGAACTTAGGAGAGAGTAGGTGTTAGTTCGAAGCTATATATATGTTTGCTTTTAAAAATAAAAATCAGTTGCGAGTGCGCTCTTGTCTGTTTACTTCCCTGTCCTTGTATTTTTTGCGCTTTTTTAGATGGCCAAAACATACATGTTTAGACCAAGAAACGCAGTCTAAGTTGTGACATTAAGCATAGCAAAACGTCACGCTTGCATTGCTTAATGTCACAACTCAGACTGCGTTTTTTGGTCTAAACATATGTCTCGGCATTGTCATTCGCTGAGCTGCCTCCGTAAGTTTCGGTGATTGACTCTGCGAGTATTGTGCGGAAAAGTAGACGCACGGGCCTTTTTTTTTTTTTTTTTTTTTTAGAGTGTACTCTTGTAAACATACCATATACATCACTCACCGGTGGCTTCTATTCGGTCCCTAAGTGTCTCGACTATTTTCTCCCTTCTGCTCCTCCTTTTCGTTGTTTGACTCCCCTTTCCAAACGCCAGGTACCGACTTGCTTCCAAAACAAACCATCAAACAAACTGATATAGAGAGGGTGTTTTTCGCGAGCTGTGTGCTCTTTATTTATTTAGCGGTTTGCTGATGTTTTTTTTTTACTTTATTTTCACCTGGAGCCTACCAGATCGTTTGGTTATGCTGTCATCCTTAGAGACGAGAAGAACAACGGAAGGGTTGTACATTGAAACTTCGGGACCTCGAGCAAAATTTGTGGCGTTTATTTATTCATTTTCTCCGGAGCCAGACGTCAACTTTCGTGTGCCACGTTGTTTAGGCTATGGTTACTGACAGGATAAGAACGGCAGGGAAGTCTCTCAGTTGTCACGCCTCCCACGCGGGCTTTCTACCTTCGATAGCACTGTCTACATGTGATAAAACCTCAACCTAACGCGAGGTTCTAGCGTGCACACTCAGCCAAAGCACGTAAGAAGACAAAGAGCGCCCTCTGGAGGCCGGCGTCGGAAAGAGACACCCTGCAAATTTCTGCTCGAGCACGTGATTTCGTCTTGCGTCTTATTCGCAAGCGCTTTCGTGCGAAGGAGTCGTCAAACCAAGCCACGCACTTGCGCAACAAGTATTGACCAACAGCGTTGTACGCTTCATGTCACTCCTCCGCGGTGGCGCTTTTCTTTTGATCCACGCGCAATATGTGGGCATTTGGCACTCACCTGTTTTGCTGTGAAAGCGCAGTACACGCGCGCTCGAGCAGAGCAACTCTGAAAAAAGCCCGTGCGTCGAATTTCCCGCACACCACTCGGAGAGCCAATCACCGCAACTTACGGAGGCAGCTCAGTGAATGATGATGCCGAAACATATGTTTAGACCAAAAAACCCAGTCTGAGTTGTGACATTAAGCAATGCACGCGTGGCGTTTCGAATTGCGTAATGTCACGACTCAGACTGCGTTTTTTGGTCTGAACATATGTTTCGGTATCGTCATTCGCTGAGCTTCCTCCGTAAGTTGCAGTGATTGGCTCTCCGAGTGTTGTGCGGGAAAGTAGACGCACGGGCTTTTTTTTTAGAGCGAAGATTCGTACAGAGCAACACGCCCCCGCTTGTAGGCTGACTTCCCTCATACTTAAGTTGAAGCAGATACGTTTTCTGCATATGTGCAGTACCGTATTTACTCGAGTAATAGCCGCACTATTAATGAACAAGGCCCTCGCGTCTACTTTCCCGCAAAGCACATATACAACCAATCATCGCGTTGCGTATAAATAACATAGCGAATAACTAGATCGAGAACACGAGTTTCTATACAAGTGCAATCTTCACAGATGGTATCTTCGCGCAAAGACGTTATTTCTGTCATGTAATTCGCTTAAATCATGCTGTCCATCGCGGTGATTTGCAATCCGAGTGCTCCGCAGAAAAGCGAACCCTCTAGTTTTCTTCATAAACAGTGGGGCTATTACTCGAGTAAATACGGTAATCAGATTTATCACGAAACCACATGCTTGTTTATTGACAGTGAGTTGGTTTTGACGAAGTTGATACTTTATATATCCAGCGTCTCGTGAACGGATGGGAAACTTGTCAACTAAGCAGTTAAACAGAAATCGCTCTCCTCTGTAATAGCTTATTGAGTGCTTCTGCGGCGCGTGCCTCCAGATGGTCGGACATGTAGGAGTTTTTGCTCTGGAGGACCTTGTTCAGTATCGCCTTGCCCAGCCAGTTGAATGCAAACGATGCTCCGGTAAACTTCGTCACCTTCAGGTCTCCCATGTCGACAATCTGCGCAGGAAATAATTCCACGCTATATGCACGCCTTATAGAAAGAAAAAGTAGGACGGCTCAGCCCGTGTCTCGTGAGCTCTAGAAAGTAAAAGTCTACTTTCCCGCACAACACTCGGAGAGCCAATCACCGCAACTTACGGGGGCAGCTCAGCGAATGACGATGCCGAAACATATGTTTAGACCAAAAAACGCAGTCTGAGTTGTGACATTAAGTAATGCAAGCGTGACGTTTTGCATTGCTTAATGTCACAACTCAGACTGCGTTTTTTGGTCTAAACGTGTGTTTCTGCATCGTCATTCGCTGAGCTGCCTCCGTGAGTTGCGGTGATTGGCTCTCCGAGGGTGTTGTGCAGGAAAGTAGACGCACGGGCTTTTTTTTTTAGAGTGCAGCGCCCTCCAGTGACGATATTTGAATTCGGCTCATAGATTGGCCCCGAGCATTACGTGAGTATTCGATATGGGGCCGCGATAATCAATAGCTCGACCAGAATTGGGGTAGTGGCTCGTGCCCAATCGCTTCAATGACCACAATAAAACATTCCGAAATTCAGTCTGGCCTAGCTATCATCAACTAAGTGTGTCTTCTTTACATGCCAATGGCGGCCTTTTGATGGCTGGAGAAGGACGAATTTGAAGACAGAAACCGATGCGGAGCCTGAGCATCTAGACGCTTGTTTTTCCGTATTGCTGTTCGATGTCACCGTGACGATACTTTTAAGCTTTTATGCGCTACGCATTTGAGGTTGCCATGTGAGTGCTTGGAATGCTCGGCTTCGGCACGCCCCAGACAGCTCATGACAATAAAATGTTGATCTTACCAAGACGTTTATTCAACTATATAAGCGCCTCCTACAGAGTGGTATAGTTTCGCAACACCATTGGAACTTTAGCAAATAAAAAAAAAAAAAAAAACTGTTCATCGAAAAACACTGTAACTTACGTACGTCTACCGTTGATGAATAGGTACCAGGTTTTATCCGCCATTAGCATCCAACTATGTGCACTGATATTTCAGCAACCACTAGAAGGTACTGAATTTGTGAAAAGGTCTACTGCCGAACCTTTTCAATGACTGGACCTCGGCACGTGTCCCGTGATTTGCCAACCCCAGCGCGTTTCTGTGATAAACAAGAGAGAGTTTTAGTAGATCGTGTTTTCAGGCCACGCTAATCGTAGCGGGAGCTCGCGCTGCCACTTCGATGCATGCTCTGAAGCGCGCGCTCGTAGCGGTAGCGGGCCTTTGAAAACGATCTACTAAAACTCCCTATTAACAACGTATAATCGACTCCAGATCACGTGGCCGCCTGTTTTAACTGCAGTCTAAAAAAAAAAGTTGCGAGTTTTTTTTTTCGCGAATATTATTGCACAAGGAGATAATATAACGCGTGTTTTATTGGTTATAAACGTCAGGGATTCCTTCTATGTGATATTTACGCAAAGAACAAAAATCATTACACCGCCCCTTTAAAATATACCAGTGATTACGAAAGTACGCTTTCCTGTGAACCTAGGAGTATGCAGACCTGTACGGTACCCCTCACAAATACTCTGATTACTTGTAGTCGATTACTTTTTAAAGTAATTTTTTTGTAATAATTTTATTTCTTTTATAAGGAAGTGTTCAGAGAGTAATCTGATTACTTTTTAGAGTAATAAAATTACTTGTAACCATTACTATTTTTCCGGCCACTTCCTAATTCAAGGCGCCCTTTCTTTCCCCAACCTCCGAGGAATTCTGGAACCAAGTCTCCGACAAGGGGACGGTCTACAAAAAGTGGTGAATTTAGGAGATGAATAGTCGGTAATCCGCTGAATCGAATCCAATAATCGGCAGCCCGAAATGCTCAGAGGAAAGGCCCGTTTTCAAACGGGCAGAAAGATGTGCCGTTTTGGGAATCTGAAGTAATCGGAAAAGTAATGGTTCCTTTTTCAAGTAGCGGTCAATTTCTTTTCCTTTCAGTAATAAAGTAATATAATTGATTATTTTTAAACGAAGAGTAATAGTAATTAAAATCGACCACTTTTTTTTAATAACTTGTAAAAGACTGGGAGTATGTAACGCACTGCAAGCTTGATTAAGACGGGCGCAGTTTGCAATATACAGCGCGGACCAAATGAATCAAAAACACACTTTGCATAAATGAAAAAAAAAATCGTATGATATAGGGTTCTGTAATTTAGCACAAGGGAACGGCTAGTTGGTGTATTTGTTTGTGAGAATATCAAAGAAAAAACGCGCATGAATAAAAAGTTATAGCACACTAAGACCAAAACTTTCCTAGTAGTAGGCACGGAATTAATTTTATGTCAAAGTAAAATAGTCTTTTGTGAGCCATTGAGACATTTGATATAATGATAGCAACCAAGGAAGGGCAACACGTTTATTCTGACTTTTCGCCTGTCGCTTGTTTTTACCAATCAAATGTCTCAATGATGCGCAGCAACGTTTTGAATTTTCTCAATTTGACGCCAAGGACTTATCTGTATGTCTACCCAGGAAAACATTTGGTGCTTATGTGCAACTTCTTAGTAGAGAAAGATTTCCGGCACACCAGCCCACCTCGACGTCCTCTTTTTTTTTTAATTTCTTTTTGTGCGAGCAAAATGTATTATTAAAAAAGAATTACCCCTTGGCCGCGTTACACGGAGAACTGATTTCTACAATTTATTTCAAGCGCGGGTTAGATTCATTCGCCTCACGCGACAGGGTGCGAAGCTCAGTGGCGACGTGAGGGGTTACCTTAAAGTCTTTCAGAGTTGCCCTCTTGGACTCCACGTCCACCTCGATGGTTATGTCGGCGAGGATTCGACTCAGTGTGGCGCCAAGGTCGCCGTTCAGTCTGAAGAATCGGTTCACTTTGTACTGGTACCTCCCGGACATACGAATCTGCCAGGTGAAAAGAGGAATCGCCGCGTGACGCTCGCCGGCGGGTTCACACACGCTTGCGTTCGACTACGACCGACTGCTCCACAACCAGGTTTGAAGGCACTCCGGTCGTCAGCAGTCGCGAGCGTGTGAAACAGCCTTAAAGCCGCGGTCATACCATCGCACAAAAGGAGGTCTGCAGACGCTAGGGAGATTTAGGGAACCGTTTTTGCACGTCCGGTACGGTTCGATGGGCCATCCGGTGCGAACTGCGCATGCGCGAATCTTTTGCGGTAGCACGGGCGCAGTTCGTACCGTATCGAACGTGCAAAAATTATTCCCTAAAACTCTCTACTGTTTGAAGCGTTCTTTTTTTCTTTTTTTTTAATGGCAATCTTGTTTCCAGCCAACAGAATTGTATTTCGTACGATGTGTGTATAGGAGCAGTCTGACTCGCGGCTCAAATTGTGCGGATACTTACGTTTTCGGCCCCTAGACGGCCCCGAGCGGTGGCCAAGTGAGAGCCGTGGAGCGTCACGTTGACGGTCCCGTACCGTCGGAGCGACGGAAGGCCGTACACGACGACGTTCTCCACGTATCCTTTGCCGTCGTCGAGGTTCAGTCGCTGTCTGATCACGAGTGGATCGATTTTGCTCTGAATGTCCCGGTTTTCCCGAAACTGGCGCAGCAGCCCGTCGATGATGTCGTCTCCGTTCACGGTCACATTTTCGGCAGTGTCTTGGGCACCTGCGACAACGGGCAGATAGGGAAAAGCTAAATAGTATAACTAACAAAAAAAAAGTTTACAAAAAAAGAAAAAAAAAAAAAACAGTTTTAAAGTGAGTTTATTGTAACTATACATTTTCTGTGAAATGAGTACCTTCCCAGAATCGCACCGTGCTCATCTCTCTAGTGTTAACTAAAGTCACGGTCACGCTGCTCATGCATCATGTTTGAATCATGTATAAAGGAAACATGCTTCTATAAGATGCTTGAGGCGCAGATATATATATATATATATATATATATATATATATATATATATATATATATATATATATATATAATTCTGTTATCATATCTAAGCGAACACCGTGTCTTTTGTACCATGCGTACGAGCAGTTTTAGAAGCAACCATGTGCATGCTGTCATTATCGAATAGGGCGTAGATATTTTCTCTACGCTAATTCATTATGTTCTCAAAATTCAACTTGTCTTTGTCTCTACCTCCATGAAAGCTCTCGAAATAACGAAAACCACCGAACGCCTAAATTCCCCCCTTTTTTTTTCTTTCTGCTATTGCAAAGTATGGATAGAGCTGAGGCACAGCAACGGAAGTGAAATCATGCGAGTGAAATGATATTAGAAATATTAAGTACACTATAAAATGAAGCTTGAGATTGTCTTTCTTCAAGTGCACACTTCAATCTGCGCGCCCAAAGCATCCTAGAAAACATTGAAAAAAAAAAAATCACGCGGGTCCCTTTTTTTTTTTCATTAAAAATGCAGCCCGGAACATGACCTAACGTCCTTTTTCTCGGATATATTACAGAAAAAGGGGCATGTCGCGATGTTTGATTGCATTTCCCTTCAGTAGGGTCATATTCTTCATTCATAAACATAATACCTATTTCATCCCTCACACACACCGGTTTCAATCTACGGAGCGTCTTCCGAATAAAGCTAACCATGTTGTTTGCGCATACTTAAGACCAGAGCTTAAGACGCGACCATGTAATGCTTGTATTGAGCATAGAGTGGCGCTGCAGTGTTTGATTATCTAAAGATACGAGCCTCCTACAAGTAGCCACATTTTTTGAAGCATCAACTGCGTGACAGTGCAGGCTTTAGGAAGTGAATGGCGGCGCACAGCAGAGGACTGAACTTGGTGACGCCATATTGTGCCAGAGGAATGTGCCTATTTGTATCGGCTGTCGTTACTTGTAAAAAGACGTATCAAGGAATTTCATGATTCTGCACAAGCCTTTGTCATTTACAAGCGTGTGTCAGCATCTGTCTACGCGCGGTAACAGAGCGTATGACAGAACTAAAAGACTATTTAAATAAACAACATAAATGTGGATCTCATGCTTTCAGTGTCTTATCAAACCGATAAGAATGCTTTTCTTGCTGTTATTTCGTTCATGTTATTTTCTGAAAATTCATATCAACCAATAAAATTCTACCACCTCGGCGCCCGCGAGCAATGTGGGAGAGCGTGTAACGCACAAACGAAGCACGACCGAAAAAAATATTCGATTTTATTCATCAGAGGCGTTGCTCAAACTGGAGAGCTATTCGCTCTTTCTCGCGTGAGTTGAAACGTGGTGGCGCCAGTGTGCAAATAGCCCCCAACCACTTCCGGTTATGAACCAGAGGGCGGGTTTCGCAGTATTTGCGAAACCAAATATACACGCTATTTTCTGGAAATAGCCACTTATAGCACTGGCAGACTTAATGTACTCTTTCGATAAAAGAGTGACGAGTAAAAAGAATGAAAGACGTTTACGACTCCCTGTAATGCCGAATTAGAGTGCAGCTCTTGAGGAGGAGGAGGGAAGGGTACGGAGGGGACGGTATATTCCTCTCCTCCTTCCTCCTCATCTACTCCTCATCTGCTCCTCGCCTCCTCCTTCTCTCTCATCCGCTTCCTCCCACTCCTCCCTCCTGCGCGGTGAATTATGGGAAACGTCCCATAACGCAACACGCGCGTCATCGCGGTGCATTATGGGACGTTTCCCATAATGCACCGCGCGGTTACGCCGACGCGTTACGGCTACGCCGACGGCGACGGTGACGCGTCACGCCGACGCCGCTCAAGCCGGGCGCCTAAGAGCTGGGCTCTAAAATTTGGAAGTATACGTGAACCGGAAGTGTGCCGGGATTACCCAATAGACGGCGCCACTGAGCTTGTTGCCAAAAAAGAAAAAAAAGAAGGGCGAGTACAGGCCTATGGGATCTTGTTTTCTTCGGCAGACACCATTTGTCTCGTATATTCCGAGGCCTGGCTCTCATTAAACGTTTTCTCAAATAGATTATAGCCTTTGAATGGGACAACATATAAGACATTTGGCCCTTGCCCCAACTGCTGGCATATTCGGGTAGGGTTTAAACGTTCAGCAAAGCGTAATTTTTTTTTTGTTAGGTTAGGAAACCACATTTTACTTTTTACGGCTGTCACCTTGCATAACCTCTTCTGCCCGGACCTCCTGAAGCCTTCGAAAACGTGATCGTTTTCCTCCTGATTCACCCTACCGTAGCCACTGACAGCCTAAGAAATCTAGGGTGCGGCTTATAATGTTCGCGCCTCTCGCTTCGTGATTGGCTCTCCGGCGTTCTTATCGAATAATGCCGCACTCTAATTGGCCGCGGAGTGCATCTCAGCTGCTCGGGAGTCGAGACGCCGTGTGCGTTTCTTCGGCTGGCAGTGACTCTCGCGACTCACCTGACACGACGAGCGAAGCGGCGGCCAGCAGGAAGAGCGCGACGTCGTGCATGGTTTTGATGCGACGGCGTCCCTGTGATCTACGGCCGATGTGCCCGAGTCGTCTTTACCACCGCACAAACGTGGCAGGAACTTTGCCTTCTTTCCGTTTCCCGGACGCGGTGCGGCTGCCCCAGGGGCGAGGCCAAAAACAAAGGGGGAAGCTAGGCGAAAAAAATAATAAAAAACAACACAAGAAGGGTTTCTCCTCTCTAATTGGTCTCCTATCCGACGCTTTCAAGGATCGCGGATATCGATCCACGCGATCGGCCGGGTTCGGCATAATGAAGTTCGATACAAACAAAAGAATGAGCGCCCGTTTAACTCGTACGCGTCGTTATCGCGCCTATATAAACCGAACGGTGAGATGTGTCGTCACTGTTCGGGGATGACGTTTTTTTGGATTATTTCCAAATTACATTTTCTGGAAAAAAAGAAAGAGAAAGAAAAATATGTTGAGTACGTTTATTACGTGCCTTGAAGTACTGTCAAATAAAATCGTCTTCCTTATCATGCTAACTATATTCGTATCAAATTAGTACCACGTTCATGGTCTTCTTTACAAATAAGACGCGAAATTGCCCTCTTTTGTTTCTTTCGTGGTTGATTATTTTAATCTACCCTTAGACAGAAATATCTAAGGGTAGATTAACCCCCCCCCCCCCCCCCCCCACAAAAAAAAAAAAAAAAACAAAAAAAAAACAACATTCTGCCAAAACATTTGATATTGAAAAATGTCATATTTACATACACCAACATCTAGGGAGTATTCCCAGAAAGTTTCATTAGTTTACACTGCATAGCTAATTTTTTTTTTTTTTTATAAATTACTTTTGGCCCAGCAATGCTGAAGAAAAGGCAGAGGTTGGAGCACTTTTGAACGCATTTTTCTCCATTCTACTTTTCGGCATAAATTTCACTTTAGGAAAACCACCGTTTTGTTTTTACGTAACTTGGACTCAATTTTATGAGTTTTTCTGGGTTGAAATTTTAAAGGGAAGATAGCTATGATCTTGTAGTTTTTATTTTTGTCGTTTTTATGCTTAAGAAACAAGTTTTTGACAAAGGGTGGAAATCTCAAATACAGTATTTGTGTTTATGCGGCCTTTTTGTCATGAAAGATTGAATAATATAGAAATATAGCTCCATAGCTATCTACCCTGAAATGTCCTAAAGCAATATAACACATGAAAATGACCAATTGTTAAGTGATTTCAAAACTATAGTTTTCCTACAACACACGCCCACTTTCATCTTTGAACATTTTTTTTTTTTGTAATTCACCCAGGCTAACAAAATTTGGCAGAAATGTTCTCAATATCAACAGAACCAAGCCCTGCAAATGTAATTTAAATCAATAAAGTGGTTCAAACATTCACTTTTTTGGGTAGTGTCCCCCCTTAAGTCCTACTCTATGTTAAACCCACCTCATCTCGCACTCATCTGCTCTTTTTTCCTCGTCTCTTGTTTCGTACCGTTTCGTAAACGCGCCAAATATATATAAAAAAAATGTTTTGCGAAGTGGCAGCATTTTTGCATGCCTGAGTTTTGGGAATGCTATAGCGGGCGTTTACCCCTGTTTGAATTACTCACTAAAACTCCCTTGTTTATTTCCACTAGCTTGCGTTTTATCTGTGCTTTTATTTCACGTCTTAATCACATACTCGCTCGTGTATGTACGCGGTGCCTGCGCTTGTATACAGCGGAAGCGCCTGATAAGTACGTGCTCAAACCTGTAGCCTTCTTTGCCTTGAAGAGATACAAAATTTGAAAGTTTGGGGCTCTACGTGTCAAACCAACAAAAGGTGTCTGACACGCTCTTAGACGCATAGTCATCTCCGAGACGCTATGCTATAGTTGCCCAGCGGAAACATCATTTGCCTTCAACCCAGACGCACTGCTTGGGTCACAGTGCCCAATCGAAAGCTCACGCAGCAGCCACGCGTGTCGTGCAAACGTTTCACGTCTCGATGGATTTCACGTGGTATTTTTGCTATAGGATATTTTTTTTCTTTGTTTGCTCTGTTGAACATGTTTGCTGTACGCATATTCGTTATCGTTAAATGTTCTTCTCTGTGATGAAATAAATTGATTGTGATTCTTTTCGAACTTGTTATAGTACCCATTCTCGGAAAAGAACAAATAAATAACATACACTTCACCGAGAATGCTAAGAGATGTCACCAACTTGCTTTAAATTTTAAATTTCTCAGCACCTAGAAAGCGCTGCAGAACCCAGGCCTCCTGAGTTCAATACTCACCTCTGCCCGTTTCGATCTGGATGAGCATCGTGCCGGCGTGCGTGCGGTCGTGCACAACTATACTGCGTGAAGCGCGTTAAAAGCCTCAGGCTATCGTTCGTAGTGCACTGGCTAAATATCTCATCTGCAGCGGTAGCGCCAGACTTCCAATGGGGCTGACTAACTTCGCGCTGTCTAAACTTACAGACAACACAATTAAGATTTATTTACAAGTCTCGTTTGTTATTCATTGCACTCCGCGTAATAACTGTGCTTCGTCGAAGAATGGTTTCGTCCTCCAGACCGCAACATGACCCCGGCAGTTAAAGACTTCCATCGAACGAGGGCAAGCGGGTGTGCCGGGATTCAACGTCATTCTTGGCAGGAGGAGGGTGCATCGCCACAGGACCGGCCACCACACGACCGTCCAATTGATTGGGAACGCGTAAGACCCGGCAGCTGGGAGCAAGTGCGTGCTCGACGGGCGCCGTTAGTGTCAGCGCTGGGTCAGGCCCCGCTAGCTACAGATCACGAAGCCCATTCGGGGCTGTGTCCCATTGCTAGTGCCGGAAATTCCTCGGAACACAGAGGACATGCTCGGCGTTCCTTTTTAAGACTGTTTGCTGTAGAAAACTCCCACAACTAAAATAAAATAGCTTTTTTTTTTTTTTTTCCTGAAGGGAGTGGGTGGAGAGGGGGGAAGGGGGGGGGGTAAAAGCGTTGATCTCTTCAGATTATTGCTATATCGTGATTGGTGTCATAACGTGGCCTCGTAGTTCGCTGGCTCTGGCGTAAGAGGAAAGTTTTACCGATCAATTAGCAACGAAAATCTTTGGTCTAACTGTAGAATTCAGCAGCAAGTGTACCACTATGAAAGAACGACCACCTCGTCCGGTGTCTCGTGATCAACTGATTTTATGTGACGTAGTCGGAAAATAAGAAGAGAAAGAGGATAGGTTTCTGAAAGTGGAGATAGGTTGGGGGGGGGGGGGGGCAACACATAGAGTAAGGAGTGAAAGAAAAATAGCACCACACATTTCTCCCCCCCCCCCCCCCCTTTTTTTTTTGAGAAAGAGAGGAGCCGAATAAAACAAAATTCACAGAACAAGGCCAGATATAAATATTACACATATAGAACAAAGATGCGCAAAATCATAATTCAAAAGAAATTCAAGTTAAGCATTCAAGTTAAGGCTACTTTTTAAAGCATTCGCACTCAACACTCATACTCTTGTACACAATATATCAAATAACACTGTTAGAAAGTTATTTACAGAATTACAGGAATTAGTTTCACTTCAAATAATAAACGTTAAAGGAATACGTAAACTTCTCTCTCTCTCTCTCCCAAACCCCTTTCCCAAAGAAAAATAAAGACGACTGTCACGTCTGGTACTGCGGGTCAGAGACTCACATCTCTAAACCGCACCGGTGGTCGTCGAATTCGGGTCGATCGCCGAAGCTCTTCCGCTGGGGTAACGGAAACTGCTACTGGGAGAAGAGCAGTACCCACTGGGGTAACGGGAATCTCCAGTTACAATTTCACTCTTTGGGGTGAACCTGGTGATACCGTCACGGCTCCCTGTCCAGGTTCAAAATGACCGGTTGGACGATCTGGGGACGCTTCGTCTCCATCCGCATCTTGTCCCCGTGGAGGTGAAAAAGGCGGAGGCGTTGGGTAGTCGTAGCTACTGCTGTTGCCACCGAGATATGCTGCTTTAATGTGTCTGGCCGCCACTCATGATGAAGACGCTGGCTTCTCGAGGTCTTTTTCAGAATTCCCTTTGTAGGCAGGTGCTCTAATGGCTGTGTCGTTGCTTGCGACGACTTCTCCACGATACCCATGCCAGGTGGAGCCGTTGCCGCCGTAACCTTGGAGGCGTTCCAAATGCGACACGCTCCATAATTTTTATTGCCGGACCCAAAAGCTTGGTCTTTCTTCTTCACCTTCCCTGGCTTCCTGACGCGCACCCATCCGCCGACATGGAACGTCGGAACTTTGGCAGCTCGCCGTCACTCTGTGCAGTGCTTGCTGTGCTCTTGTCCCCGCTTCACTTGGCACCGAAGATGCTGCAGCTGCTCAAATGGGTTCTTCAAGAGCTGCGATGGAGAAAGGCCGATGATGTGAAGTCGGTTGCGTGGCTTGCGTCCATGCAGCAGAACCGCAGGAGGCAGTTTTGTCGTTGCGTGCGGGTACAGCCATACAAGCACACGTAATCCAGAAGAGCAGAGTGAATTGATCGCTTCTCCAGGGCAGCACACTGTACGAACGACTTGAAGCTACGATTAAATCGTTCTACTTGCCCGTTCGCGTGTGGATAATACACAGAGACCAGGTGATGGGTGATACCTCGCTTAGGCAGGAAGCTCTGGAATTTTTCCGAAGAAAACTGAGGTCCATTGTCGGATACAATGCTGTCGGAGTATCCTTCCCGAGAAAAGACGAGACAAAGGACACCGGTCACCGCGCTTGTCGTGACGTTGGAGCAGAAATGGTCTTCAGGCCACTTTGAAAAATAATCGACGAGCGTGATGCAGTACCGATATGCTGGTGGCGAAGCTTTTGGGTTAACGATGTCGATGCCGAGCTTTGACCATGGTCGCTCAGGCAAGGGCACAGGTTGCAAGGGTGTTGGCGATGTCTTCGCACTCTTGTCAGCCAAGCTTCAAATGCCACAGGCTTGGACTGCCATTTTCACCTTCGCATTCATGCGGGCCACCAATATAGTTCGCCAAGGCGAGTCCGCGTCCTGACGATGGCAGGTTGACCCTCGTGTGTTCGGCCGATGAGAGCTTTTTTCATACTAAGG